GAAAGATGAGTGGGTATTGATTAGCCAGTGGTAATCCTCGTTAATTGCGAAGAATTAGTCAATTTCTACCGTTGTTGTTGCCTCATATATGGCGCTACCATTCTGTTTTCATTCAGTGCAAGCCCTGGTAGCTGCTACCTGAAAAGTCGTCCTGCTTGAAATAAATTCTTTCGACTTTGAGGCCTTCGAGCATTACCGAGCCCATAGTCATTGAATTGGAAGATTGTTTCGTACAGGACGACAAATTTGATAATACGCCGAAATTTATATGATATTAAAAGTCGTTATTTGTAATGTTTTCAAGCGATGACCATTGCACATATTCATTGAAAACAAATGATATTTTCTCGTCAAGTTCAATCATAACTGACTTCAGATGGCGCTGAGATAGACACTTTAGAATATATAACGGTTTCCATGTTACTTCATTAGCATACCATTAAATCTCCCATCTAATCGTACGTGTGAATATTTTGGTGTGTATTTATTCATTGTCTCAAGCCTGATATTTCCAGGTTTGAGACTTATACAGCAGTTGTGAACACCATTCATTAAATAAGTCACATGTTCACTGGCAGATTTCAAGTAGACTGTTGAATTCACCGTTTGAATGAGGGAGTGGGTCTGAGGCGAATGAAGAGAGAGGCACGACCATAGTCCACTTTTTTTAACTGAGGAACTGTAACAGACACGTTTTAGTTGGTCCCGACAGTCGGGCTATCAGGACTGGTTGTTTGCGGCATAGGGAAGGCAAACTTCCGTCCACGCTTTTCTGTCACCCTCATCTCTCCGCACGAATATGTCAGCACTACTGCTAACACGGCTCAGAGGCAGTAAACACGACATGCGTCGGTTTGCGCCAATCGAATCTGCACCTTTCAGTGAGGCATAGAACTGCCTTGTTGTGCTAGTAGCACAGTTCAACAGCGCTGGTAACTATGAAGAAGTAGCCAGTCGACTGACAATGACAAGGACGAAAACGACTGAACTGAATTAAGCTGATTATCGTATTAACAAAACCGGGTGGTGGAGAACAGACACTTGACAGCGTCTTGCAGGCAACGCCCAACGCGTCATTCGAACTGCGACATTTTTTAGCACTGTGCTCAAAATTCATATGCTGGGCGGAACTTTAACAATGGGTTCGAGGACCAAAAACAACGAGGCACAGCCTCTGCAGGCCGACATCAGTGGCAACGGATAAGACGCGCCAGGACCGGTTCTGCACTCTCGGCTAAGAGAAAAAATCGTATTAACCGCTCTGGTGCATTTCTAGAATGCAACGTTGAGTGTGAGGTTTCATTTCCGTCGTATCGAGACGAAATGTCAAACACAACAATAGAACGAAAAAATCGAAAGTCACACTCCCTTAGTCAACGCCACATGAATGTGGACGAATCTGTTTCGTGCTCTTTTGATATCACTTGGAAATGAACACTTTTGGCATTAAAAAACTTTTAATGACGCTTCAAATGGTCGCTATTCAAAGGTCTGCAAGAAGATGACGATAAAATTAAGAAAACTTAACGAAACACACACCAAACGATGAAACTCATAAGCAAATGTTTACGTATACTTCTTCTGCTGTGTAATATTTTGCCTTTGTCGGTAACTGCAGCAGTACGACTGCACAGAATCTGGAGTAAAAGCATATTAAAAGTAATACAAAGTTAATAGTAAATATCTGATTATTTGATTACCTAAATGCCTTTTGTACCTATCTGGAGAAAGCTTTCACAGCTGAAGAAGAAAAGAAAGAGAGAAGGAGGCGACAAAAATAGCGACCACCACAAGGTGCATAAAAATATTAGGCCTTTAGCAAAATGCCACAGACTGACTTTCGAATTATCATAACGTTTAAGGCGTCGCAACAATGATAAGTAATCTGTAACGCAACGCATATTTGCGAAAGTTACTTAAAGAGATGTTGCTCTTTGATGATGGATTATGTAATTGTGTAGAAGAATGCTTGCATCCTGCAGATTAAGCAAAAGAACGCTTCTGAAGTAATTTTACCCGTAGCTGCAACTACAGGTGGAAGATTGTACAATTTTAACGGCATATTTTAAACAGATAACTGATCTGGCTTTATTGCTTTAGTAGCTAATTATAATGATTTCGAAAACTCACGCTGGTCTTGTCTCCTTTTTCACTATAATGGTATAAATTCAGTGGCTAAACACAACTTAAAAGTCGATGTTTGTTTGCCATGAAAATGGTAAGTGCTGCTTGCCCAAAAAGTCCGCTGTAAAAAGACCTAAGCACCGGTCTTTTGGCTGTTTCTATAACGACTACATTCATAACAGTTACGTAGTGATATTTCTACTAAAGAGTGGCCCAATATAGAACTGCAAGCGTGATCAAACACCACGCAGCAAGGGGCCAAAATAAAGATCGAACTTCGTT